GAGTATACTGCGCAGAAGTTCGTTCTGTTTTAATTTACGGCAGCGATTGCTGAGATCACTGGTTTTGACTTTCTGGCTAATGAACTGACGACGTTATTTACAAAGGTTTGTGAGCTAGATAGTGTACAAACGTCATGGAATGAGTCGTTAGTTGTCCTTATCTTTAAAAAGGGTACACGTCCTTCCTGAACAGATAGAAGTAGTCTAGAAGTTCGTGTATCTGGGTAGCTGCATAAGTGCTGGAGGGGGTGTGGGTGATGAGATCAATGCACGTATAGTGAAAGCCAGAGCGGCTTATGCCAATCTGGGCCATCTTTGGCGCCTCGTGATGTTAGTATGGCTGTAAAAGGTAGGATCTACAACGCGTCGGTGAGAGCAGTTTTGCTCTGTTTGTGAAACCTGGTCTCTCCGAGTTGAGGACGTTAGGCGACTCTCTGTGTTCGATCACCGCTGTCTCCGAAGGATTGCTGGCATCCAGTGGCAACACCATATCAGTAATGCAGAGGTTCGGCATCGTGTGTTCGGGCACAGAGATGATAATGCAATCGATGTTACCATCTTGAAACACCGACTTCGGTGGCTTGGACATGCTCTACGAATGTCGTCACAGAGAATTCCACTTCGTGCATTACTTGTCGACTCTGGGGCTGGTTGGAAGAAGCGGAGAGGTGGTCAGTGCATAACATGGTGTCGTGGCATGAAAGAGAGCTGCAAAGGACTGGCTTCTGTCGGTCCTTCAATACTCCCTGGCTGCGGTCCTAAAGATGATGCAACACAGTGGCTAGAGACGTTGTCAGATATGGCTCAAAATAAAGTCAGTGGCGATCCTTCTGTAACCTCTTTTTGCTTTCTTCATGGTTGTATCTTCATTAACTGAAAGATTTCTTCTGATTGTACCTTTCCGTTTCCCCTATTATTATTATTATTATTACACTACCGTACATTAATCTGTTCGTTATTGTTCTTTTTTTCCTTTAAGCTCCTTACCCTTTTTCTCTTCCCATTCTCATTGTTTTGTGTGGCGCATATATATTTGGTGTCCTCTTGTACCAATATTTATATGTTCAAATAAATAAATTGAGTCGAAGATACTCGTATGCTACTAGCATTTGATCACAGATGCCTTAGAAATATTACTGGGATCACTGGGTAAGTAATAGTGAGGTTAGACGCAGGGTATTAAGGAATGATTGTAAATTAGTTGGTGAGGTTGTGAATATTCATCAACTGAAATGGTCCGGTCACGTGTTACGTATGCCTGAACACTGATTATCACGACGCGCAATGCCAACCGGTGTTGGGAATGGTTGGAAGAAAGTTATGGGTGGTTAGACCAACATGTGGCATCAGTCTTTCAAATCACTAACTCGTGGCGTGAGCCATGTTAGTAGACTCAGACTACTTGGTTGAAGTCCGCGCGACTATTGTAACCAATGTTTGGAGATTCTTGGTGTCATAGCTCAGAATCGATCACAATGGTATAGGTGTAAACAATTTTTTTTCCCTTAAATCCTGAGATTAAAGTCACTTTATACCTTTCTTTCTACGAACTAGTTCTTTCTCCCTGTATCATGTCCGTAAATGAATGTTATTTTTACTATCATTGAATTAACTGCTATGAATTTGGTGTTCATCTTGTTATGCTAATGAGGTTTGACAACTTACACCGATGCATATATGTTCCTGGTCCACGTTGTAGCTGACTGACTTATGTGTTCAAATACATAAAAAAGTTTGCACATCAACTCCCCTTAAGTAGTGCCAGGTATTGGAATTTCCTAGTACTTTTTTTCTGTTAATGCTTTTAAAGCAATAGTGAAATCGGTAGTTTTCTCCAGGAGTAAGTCATTTGTGGATATGAACAATAGAATGTAAATAACCGGCAATAATCCATAATGAAGCAACTACTATTAGTTGAGGAAACATGATAGACAAAATGACAGTTTAAAGTCCTATGAAAGAGGTATTCACATTCGTTGATTTTGTTAGAGGATTATTACTCGTGTCCACCTTGACCATAGTTCGCGATTAGTTTTGTTTTTAGTTGTCTATATTTCGTGTAGGCTTTAATTATGCCATCCATTGTAAACTCACTACTTACTGTGCATACAGTAGATATCTCGAATTCATTTAATTATAGCTTTCACACCTTTCAAAATTTCCTAATGTTCTACAAAACCCTAATTTTCTGTGATTTCACCACCCACTTTTTCTTCATTAAAACATCAACGTACAGTAAAGGTACACCGTTCATAGTCGTTAATGTTTATACACTATTCATAAACTTAAATATCACAAAATAAGTGATTCGGTAGCGTTCACTATATAACATCTTAGTGTTATAACGTGAAAATATAATGCTGATTAAGGGGGAGCGAATTATTGATCGGACCAAAGACGCACAAACACGTAGAACGACCTAGGGTTCTGATTGGTCTCGCTTCCCTGTCTAACCCAGCCAGTTGAGTCCAGAACGAAAGTCACAGCCTCGGATATATGAATCATTATATTTCAAACATGCTTTGTTTATATACCATTCAAGCAGTCCACAACGTACCATAAAATAGAAGATAATATTGTACAACAATGGCCAACAGGAAAATAACACGTTAAATAAATATCGACCAATGGGAAATGTACATTTAAGGTCCAAGGACACCATTGGACTTAACATGATAATTATTGGTCTATTTTTCCGACTACCTAACACTTAGTGAGATGTTGATTTTTTTAACCGGTATACTCGTAGCATTAAAAAGATTGTCTAATACTTATACACTGTTCGCCGAAGATTACTATTATATTCAACGGTACACATCTTCAAAAGGGGCAAGTTACCTAGATTTTAACCATGCTGTTTACACGGTCATTGTTGGAAATTTTTTTTGTACATCATATAGGTATGATATAAACTTGATTAAACACGATCTTATTGATCTATGTCAATTAAGCAAACGAAGATATTTCTCAGTCCGTGTCCTTAATGCGGTCTACATAAGCATGAGTGAGGAGGCGTAACCCACTAAAATTCGCTTGCCTGTAGTGCCGGTTACTTTGTCAAGCCTATATAATTTATTCTAGTTTCTGGACACACAATTTATCCATTTTCTTGAGTCACGTTTTGACCTTTTTAATTATTCACTTATTAACCCTGACTTTTTATATGAGCGTATGTGTGTACATCTTATACTACTCATCACATGTTTGTAACCTATTTTTGTGTGGCTATAAATGTTAATTAAGAGGAGTTGGCTCACATGCCTCCACTGCGCGTCGTTTCGTTTCACTCTCGTCTTTGCTCCTTTTGTTACGTCTCTGATTATCGGTTACGGTTAAACAATTGTACAAATTATGTGTATTCGAAAATCCATTCTCGTATTTGACTTATTCTAATACTTTCATTCACTAACGCGAGTTATGTCGATAGCAATCATTCAATAGCGATCAACATATGATCTAATTGGAGTCAGTTAAAGGGCCACAAAATGCTCTTAGAACTATCCAAGTAGTTTAAGTGGATTATGAGATACCCAATCGAGTTCTTCATAGACAGGTTCGTTACTATAGGTATTGGGAATCGTCGAATTAGTCTTTTCTGTTCAATTTTTAATCCCAGGTATATAGTAGTGGCGATGAAGCAGCAATTTAACATATAGATAGTGGTTTTAAAATGTCATCTGTTTTTAATTATAAACTAATACGATTGATTTTGAAGCCTTCTGGACACATGTTGAAAGCAGCTATCGAGGAAAGCTATTATACTGCTAAACTAGTTGTGACTGAAAAGACAGCCCATGATTTCAAACAGACCTAGATAATGCACAAGTGATTGCGTCATATTCCATTGTATTACCAATTTACATGTTTGTGCGGACATACATGGAGTAGCAGTCGAACAATGCAGTCAAGGGTCATTGAACATGTGCCTAGATGACTTCAAAACCAATTAGTATCAAACGACCCGATCAATATGAGAGGTAGAAAACCATGTACATCGACAGCAAAACACATAATTGAAACGGGGCACCGAATTGACATCACTACAGCTTCTAAGATGTTGTATAGAAATTGTCAGGGACGAATCCTCAAGTTCATTGAAGCATTGGCTATCCGTAAATTTAAACCCATCTTATGTGCACAAAAACAATTTGCCGTAACCTGACGTTTATTAATTTTCATATAAAATGCCCTGACAAGTATGTGTGACCGGATTGTTTGAAATGTATAGCGCAATTATATCATATTTTTCAGATGAACTCCGTCTTCTCATTGTTCTATCGAAACAAAAGATTGATAAAGGCTTGATGATTATCCAGTGTGTTGAGTGGTTACGTTGTCTATTTTAGTCTTAATCAAAATCCGTTATGTTGTTTGCTCCCCAATAACAACTGAAGAATATGTTGCATAGGGATCATTGATGTGACTAGCATTGTCATTGTCCTTCCTGTCTTATATTTCTGGCATTCATCCATTAATGTTTTGGAGCAACTTTTTTTAAAATTTTTGATGTTTTTTAATTTGATGTTATTGATTCAGTAAAGTTGTTCATGTCACAGTTTTTGTAAAAAGCAATGTTCAGAAATATGGCGTTTGCTGATTTTAACTCGCAGAATCTGAGTATCACTTCCCTAAAAGTTTGTATCATAAAGTCCCAATAAACTTGTAACCTATCGTCTCCACTTAAAACCGGTGTGCAGAAACAGATCTTATGCAGTGTCTATACTAACGAATTTCGACTTTAAGAACGTACACCTTGATGATAGACTGCAGTGTAACAGAAGCCAAGGATGTATTTGTCTGTCAATTTCTGTCTTAACTATGTGTGAGCGTCATCGTATTACGAGTCTGGATATTTGTTATAGATCGTTATATTCAAACCAAATGATATTTTATCCGTTTAGTTTAATAGATATATAATTTATAAAAGGTCACAAATTAGATTGGATTTCTTGCTGTTTTATCTATCCTCAGTCCAACGAACGACTTCATTTTATTGATAGTTAGTGACATTCAGCCTTTAGACGAATAAGATCAGTCCTTATTGAATCGAGATTTTCTTCAAGTCTAAAAGTTAAAAATTAAATCAACTTAGTTCATAGTTGTATTAATAAGCTATTTAAAAGGCTTACAGTCATTTTTCACTTAATTATTGTAGTAGTATATATCAAAAATAGTAAATAAAATTTCCATATAATTTTCAGGAAAATATGCGTAACTTATAAATAGCCAACAAATTCACTTCAGACAGTCTAATCTCCTATTTGTCAGGCTTTGCTATTGATGAAATATTTAACTTTAGAATCCTCCGTCTTTATCACTTAAAAACTTATCTTCTTGATTTAATTAACAAATAACTGAACAGTAATAGATGATCTGACAAATAATTCTGTAAGTTGGTTTCGTAAAGAGGTAATATTACAGCTTAAGATAGATGCTGTATATCAGTAAGTCGAGAAAACAACATCATGACCAAAGTAATACAAGCTTGTGTCTTAATTACTTGACCAAAGTAGTGTTCGTGTATTAGGAAGCGATTAATGTGATGTCACTTAGTTCAACAAAGATTCTTTTTAGCAAATTTATTTTTCTAAGTTGTATTGTCATATATAGATAATAAGTAACCAGTGTGGGAACAAGTAATTTACAATTAAAAATGTTAATACATAGACTCAATATGTATGGACTCTCGGAGATCTTTTGATATGGAGAGCCAATCAAAAGTAAAATAGGTCGATCAATGGCGACCAGAAGTGACCTAAGTTTTCAGTGAATTTCATTGGGGTCAATGGGTCAATTTCCTAAGAATAGCACTGTATATATATGAATGAGTATTTGTGCATTCTATTCGGTAGTTCAATACACTTTCTCGCTTAAGTAGTCGTTTGGTGGTTAGCGCATAACATACCGTGTATCAGTATCAGATTCTGAACACCGTACGTCATAATATTTATAAGCCAAGTTCTCTGGAAAATCAAAATGTGGATATGCAGTGATTTTGAAACTTGGAGCTGTGGTCTTCAGGATATTTTCCCTTCATCAGAATTAATTAAGATGTATGTTTTTTGGGTCGTTTGTTCGCCAGCTGTGTGAAGATTATTTTTCTCTCTAACTTCAACATCAGATATGGACTTCTTTATCGATTCAACTTAGTCCTCGAACCGATATTTGTTATGTCCTGATAAGCATAATCAATGGTAACTTTTGGGATCCATTTATCGGCCAATACTATGCGTATATTTTTATGGTATAATTGTTAAACAACTAAACTATTCATATTCATGCCCCTTGTATTATGAGCCTTATTTTGACCTATGAACTATTATTATACTATTTACCATTCTTGAGTTATAACCAGTATATTAATTACTACCTCCCTCATTCACAGCCACATTTAACTAATTCTTGTACAAATGTTTCATATTTAATGGTAAGGTGTGGTCTGTCTGGTTGGTATCTAAACCCAGTATACTTGAGATAAATGATTCATATTGCAGAGGCTGAGATTGATGTTCTGGACTTAACTAAATGGGCTAAGCAGAAAGCAGAACCGACAATTACTCTAGACTGCTCGTACGGGTTTTACGCGTCATTGATCCGATCGGTAATTCACTGCTCTCTAATTGGCGGTATTGTTACGTTATACATTAGCAGGGCACACAGGCCACATGTTATAAAAATATTGACGTCGGTTTATTAAATGCATGAAGATTGTGAAATATTTTCTCCTTATTTATCTTTTAAAGACTGAACTTCATGAATACGGTTTGTAGTGTAGTGCTCAACTGTTTTTAATCCCTATTCGACTGTCTATCATAAACCCGACGTCCAAATACTTTGAAAGCATAGACGATGATAAATACATTCTTTTAGCAAGTGAATGTTTAACTGTTACATTAGATGTTAGACAAAACAACATACAAACTTTGTAAATTATTCTATTTTGGAAGAATCACTGCTTCTTTTAATTTACTAGGATACATCCATCAATTAGTGGGACAAGTGATGAAACAAAAGAATCGTTTTCTTGACAGGGAGTGGAATATTCTCATGATTAAACTCTAGCTCTTTTTCCCAAGTTAGTAAAGCGAACTGTGATGATGAAAATAAATCCTGTCTACGTTTCAGTTTATAAAAAGCGTATTGAATGGAATTTTATAGCACGCTACAATATTTCTTATTTCTGATAAAAAAGTAATTCTTTGGTAAGATTCGTTTGAATATGTTAAAACTACACATCGCAAATAACTTTAGCAGTAATTATTTAAAGCCCAAACTACTTTTACTGTGTAATAATTATTCTACTTAAGGTAATTGGATTCAAAGTATCATAACAACGTTATGTTTACTGAATTAGGATGAAAAGTAAAAACAAATACAACACAAGTTCTCGGCACACTTATTCATAACTTACCTTGAGTGACTAAGTTTCAGTTGATTTGCTGTTGTTTGGGCTAGTTTACCGACACATGATAATTCGTCTTCTAGTGCATCAGTTTCCATTTGACTTAATAACAACTTCAAGTTGCTCGTCGAACTCTCAAAATTCCTTTTAATATCTTCCAATTTAGTTAAGTTATTTTTGCTTGATAACTAAAGAAAACGTAGGTAAGGTTACTATTTACATACATTTTTATGATTCTGTTATGAGGTACCCTGTGAACATGAAAATGTAAGTATTACAGCATGTTAACCCGACTTTAACCCGATATCTTTTAAAAACCTTATTATCTTAAACAAATAGGGTTTTTGCTTCATTTTGACTAAAAACGTTGACTTCCATTCAATCGAAATATCTTATAATTCATTAAATAAGCCAGAATTTTTCGTTGCATATCACTTAAACAAGTATGTGAAAACTAGAACATTCACAAGAAAAAATCACTTTAACCATTGTTGAAGAACTCAGAATAAAGACAATCACAAGTTATGTACAGCTATATTTTATTGAAGAAAAATTTATTATTGAAATGAGCGGAGAATCTTTGCTAGCTCCTACTATACATCGCACCGTTTTGGATCTTAAAACATCTGATATATTTCCCACCAAAATTATGAAATATTAGTTACGGATACATGAAGTATCTACCAAAGGCTTTATATTTGTTTGGTTATGTAATATTCCTTAAAGAATCCATTTATTTCAACATTTAGTCACTTCTCGCATTTATTTACCTATTCTCTTTATTACTAAATATGTATTAGTATTAGTAAATAACATAAGTTGCTCTATACCATTATATACACTTCTTGATATAACTTTATCTTACTCCATGCATTTATGCTTGGTCATTCGGCGTACACTCCATCGCAAGCTGCTGAAAACTACATAATGGTGATTTCCTCTGTTAATGAGCAAACGTTTATCTATTGCTATAACCTCATATATACGCCAAAATATACTGGGATTTCATAGTTATGGGTAATTATGATAGGTTTTGTGACTGACTCCCTACAAAATTAGAGAGTATTGTTCGGGATCCCCAGATGAAAGCATATGATGTAACAAAAACTTTCACATTATTTAGGATCATTCAAATTTTACATACTTTATTCCGAAATAACCTGCTTCTCTTCATCCTGATATGTTAAGCTTCCTATTCACTTTACTGTCTCAGTAATTTGAATCAATTACTATGTCCATGAATGGATATTACTGAATTTCTAAAGAACTATACCACGTTGTACACCGTTATATCTGTCTTACATGTGTAATCCACATTTCTTCAGTGGCCTATTTTTTCTCCAAACGGAATCTTGTGAGCAGTGCTAACCTTTTTGTCATTAATGACTTAAAACTGGGATGTTTTATTTGTTTAATTAGGGTTTACCTAAGCAATAATATAAGGTGTGATAAAATGTAATGTGTTACGTTACAAAAATTGGCTTTGTTCCACTGTTTAAACCATGAAATCGTTCAAGCTTATCATCACTTTAAAATAGCCTGTACACATACCGTAGTGAACAGAACACGAGTGGGGGCAATCGAATGTATCTAACGCAAAATTACAGGACTTGTTAGTAAAATCTAACAATCGTAAAGTAAATGCTTAATTTGTGAAATGTCCATCGATTGTCTCAAAATGACTCAGACTTCATTGTTCTTGCATTTTTATACAAATTGCATTTTGTTTCCATTCTTTACTGTTCGATCCTCTTGTCTCTGCTGCCAGACCTTCTGTTCACGACTAACATCATTTACTACTTATGTCAATATAAGTAGCACACCACAATGCAATAATTTCTCTATGTAATATTTTTTTCAAAGCAATAAATTCTCAGATTATACTTCATCACTCATTATTTTAAGGAACGAAATTAATTTATGTTTTCTATGATGGTAGAATTACTTTTGTAAGGCTTTAAAAGTCAGCGCTATATTATATATAGTTCTCTGTCAATTATGCAGTTGCAAAAGAAATAGATATCGGGTTCATGAGAAGCTCGATAAAGATATGGCCTTCTAATAAAGATTACTGGATATAGAATATCAGTGCAGTGATATAATTTATGCAATCCATATTAATCCCATTGATTATCAACATAATTTTATAGTGTGTCGACACTTTGATGTGAGCGAATAAACTCTTGTCTGGTTATTCTTGCAAGCCAATATTTTTTTCAACTAAACGATTTATTATATTGCAAAACAAACTGACTACTGGAATTTTTTCTACATCTTTATCTTATTGATTAATTACAGTGTACTCTATTATTTCCTATTTTTGACATGCACAATAATATGTTCATTGTCCTTTACTAAATGACTGGAATAAACACGTTGAACAACTTTCTTCCTAAATTTTTCATACTATTCATGAAATGATAGTTTTAACTCACTTCATTGTTTTTTCTAAAAGTATATCCTGTTAATTGATTAAAACACGTTTTTAACCAATTCACTTTGCATTTTAATTCAAGAATCAGTGAAATCAGAGATACTTTTTCACTAAATCCTATATGAAATTCTTCGTTGTCTAGGTCTTGATCATTGAAGTTTTCTGTTTAAAAAAACGCGTAAGAAACGCTTAATTCACTAGTTTGAAAATGCTACAGTTAGACGTATCTAGTGAGAATTTATTACCTCATAATGATAATAATTTTATTTAGATTTTTATCTCAGTATCACCAGTGATACGCTTTTTGTAGCATATATCAATCTTATGAAAACCAGCAAAATCATTGTAAACTAGTAGAAACTTAAGAATGAATGCATTGAGACTAAAGTCTTTATATTCAGACACAAACCGTGAATAGATCAAATTATAGTTTAAGTAGTCACACTTAGTAGTCACATGTATATGGCATTCTAAAAAAGAGTAATTGCTACTTATCGAATGGTTATTTTGAATCAGAAAACGTAAATTAATCAAGATTGAGGTATTTAGTTTCCTAAAAGTGGAATCTGCGGACCAGCTTTAAAAATAAATGTCTGTGTGAGTAGTCTATTTTCTTTAGGTGGAACTCCTTATATCACCACATACAGTTTTAGTTTGCAAACTCATAATAATTTGTACCATTATTTAAAAACAAATATTAGGGTAAATTACGCACATCTGAAGTATTTACTGTTAGAAATATAGTGTCATATTGACATTTTAAATGAATTCAAAATATGGTAAAACGGCATAATTTACTTGAAAAGATGGAAACGAGATAGCTGTCTTGAAATCTATAAATTGTTTTATTCAATACGTTTGTTAATCAGCTGTTGTACTATGGAATTTATTTAGCACTATACAGTTCGCATTATGGTATCCATATACACTCTTCCGTAAAACATGGATCTTTTCTTCTATAGATGTTTCGAAAAATAGTCTTCAGAGACTTTTAAAACGTTCAGTAGTCATGTTTAGTTAAGAAGAGTGAGTTGTGTTCAACATATTCCGCTCGATTATACTACTATCTCCTAGCGTAGCCAACCTATTTAGTATTATTCGAATGGATTATTTACAAATGAAATATTCCGTAGTTGTATACGTTTTAAAGTGTATCTACATGAAAACTATACTTCGTACGTTGGCAACTGGAAGTTACCTTGATTAATAATAACTGAAGCTCATTGTACTGACATATGCATAAAGTAAGGAAAAAAACCAACCTTTTCCGTGATATTTAAGCAATTTCTCCAACTTTCCTGTCAAGTTTTCTAAATCATTTGAAATCCATGTGATAGCGCATGATATCACTGTGTCATCTTTAGCATCGTTATCCGGCTGTGAAGCGTCAGTCTGTACAATTTGGTCTATAGTCACATAAGGCTGAAGATGAAACAAATAGTGTATGGCTTTCACGAATTTTATGCCGTAAACTAACAATATTAGAATAGACCTATATTATAAACTAGTGATTTGTTAATAAAATGATACGTAATAAAAGTAGGTAATACAAGGAATACACTAGTACTAATTCAATAAATTACATGTCTACATATAATTCAATTGGTTGTAAATAAATAGCTACTCAGTTACAATTAATTGATTGTTCAATATCAAGGTTAGAATTCCATGTATTCATTAAGGTAGGTAGCATAATGCATGTACAACATGATATGTGCTTTAACTCTGATATTTCCAGTTAATTATCAGCTTTTGCAATTGACTAGAGCTTCTTTACAAATCATGTTATAGTTACCACTTGATGAGTTATAATCAGTTTTCATCGGGTACGTTTTAGATCATCCCGATGTCTAATTGGTGTACATGATGGAACTACTTTCTTAACAACAGTGTTCACAAAAAGTAATTTCTTGTTTTAAGTAATCGCCATTCATAATAATTTAGTAATTGAGTCACTTGGTTTCCAATAACTAAAATCTCAGACTCAAACTTTGTTTTACCGAATTCGGTGAACGTAATAGGGCAGAATCACCGTCAACAGAATTCTCGGGCATTGATCTCCTACCAGGAGATCCACTTATCGACTTAGAATACAAAGATGACACAGTCCTGTTTGGCGAGGACGCCGGTAAAATGCAGTGTCCTGTTGTAGCACTGAGCAACAATATCAGGATGCTTAGGATGGCCTTCTCCCCCTTTAAATGCAAGCTTTTGCTTCAGGGTTTGCCTGCGTCATTACGTGAACTAGGGATAGGGAGTGATGTAGTCGAACGCGTTGAAAACTTCACTTATTTTGAAAGTTTGATCAGCCATGATGGGCGGGTGTCTGACGGAATTCTGCACGGATTCAGAAAGCTCGTTTGGCTTTTGCCAACTTTCGTCACCTATGGCGAAGTTGACATCCGTCTCAATAAATAAACGAGTATACTGCGCAGAAGTTCGTTCTGTTTTAATTTACGGCAGCGATTGCTGAGATCACTGGTTTTGACTTTCTGGCTAATGAACTGACGACGTTATTTACAAAGGTTTGTGAGCTAGATAGTGTACAAACGTCATGGAATGAGTCGTTAGTTGTCCTTATCTTTAAAAAGGGTACACGTCCTTCCTGAACAGATAGAAGTAGTCTAGAAGTTCGTGTATCTGGGTAGCTGCATAAGTGCTGGAGGGGGTGTGGGTGATGAGATCAATGCACGTATAGTGAAAGCCAGAGCGGCTTATGCCAATCTGGGCCATCTTTGGCGCCTCGTGATGTTAGTATGGCTGTAAAAGGTAGGATCTACAACGCGTCGGTGAGAGCAGTTTTGCTCTGTTTGTGAAACCTGGTCTCTCCGAGTTGAGGACGTTAGGCGACTCTCTGTGTTCGATCACCGCTGTCTCCGAAGGATTGCTGGCATCCAGTGGCAACACCATATCAGTAATGCAGAGGTTCGGCATCGTGTGTTCGGGCACAGAGATGATAATGCAATCGATGTTACCATCTTGAAACACCGACTTCGGTGGCTTGGACATGCTCTACGAATGTCGTCACAGAGAATTCCACTTCGTGCATTACTTGTCGACTCTGGGGCTGGTTGGAAGAAGCGGAGAGGTGGTCAGTGCATAACATGGTGTCGTGGCATGAAAGAGAGCTGCAAAGGACTGGCTTCTGTCGGTCCTTCAATACTCCCTGGCTGCGGTCCTAAAGATGATGCAACACAGTGGCTAGAGACGTTGTCAGATATGGCTCAAAATAAAGTCAGTGGCGATCCTTCTGTAACCTCTTTTTGCTTTCTTCATGGTTGTATCTTCATTAACTGAAAGATTTCTTCTGATTGTACCTTTCCGTTTCCCCTATTATTATTATTATTATTACACTACCGTACATTAATCTGTTCGTTATTGTTCTTTTTTTCCTTTAAGCTCCTTACCCTTTTTCTCTTCCCATTCTCATTGTTTTGTGTGGCGCATATATATTTGGTGTCCTCTTGTACCAATATTTATATGTTCAAATAAATAAATTGAGTCGAAGATACTCGTATGCTACTAGCATTTGATCACAGATGCCTTAGAAATATTACTGGGATCACTGGGTAAGTAATAGTGAGGTTAGACGCAGGGTATTAAGGAATGATTGTAAATTAGTTGGTGAGGTTGTGAATATTCATCAACTGAAATGGTCCGGTCACGTGTTACGTATGCCTGAACACTGATTATCACGACGCGCAATGCCAACCGGTGTTGGGAATGGTTGGAAGAAAGTTATGGGTGGTTAGACCAACATGTGGCATCAGTCTTTCAAATCACTAACTCGTGGCGTGAGCCATGTTAGTAGACTCAGACTACTTGGTTGAAGTCCGCGCGACTATTGTAACCAATGTTTGGAGATTCTTGGTGTCATAGCTCAGAATCGATCACAATGGTATAGGTGTAAACAATTTTTTTTCCCTTAAATCCTGAGATTAAAGTCACTTTATACCTTTCTTTCTACGAACTAGTTCTTTCTCCCTGTATCATGTCCGTAAATGAATGTTATTTTTACTATCATTGAATTAACTGCTATGAATTTGGTGTTCATCTTGTTATGCTAATGAGGTTTGACAACTTACACCGATGCATATATGTTCCTGGTCCACGTTGTAGCTGACTGACTTATGTGTTCAAATACATAAAAAAGTTTGCACATCAACTCCCCTTAAGTAGTGCCAGGTATTGGAATTTCCTAGTACTTTTTTTCTGTTAATGCTTTTAAAGCAATAGTGAAATCGGTAGTTTTCTCCAGGAGTAAGTCATTTGTGGATATGAACAATAGAATGTAAATAACCGGCAATAATCCATAATGAAGCAACTACTATTAGTTGAGGAAACATGATAGACAAAATGACAGTTTAAAGTCCTATGAAAGAGGTATTCACATTCGTTGATTTTGTTAGAGGATTATTACTCGTGTCCACCTTGACCATAGTTCGCGATTAGTTTTGTTTTTAGTTGTCTATATTTCGTGTAGGCTTTAATTATGCCATCCATTGTAAACTCACTACTTACTGTGCATACAGTAGATATCTCGAATTCATTTAATTATAGCTTTCACACCTTTCAAAATTTCCTAATGTTCTACAAAACCCTAATTTTCTGTGATTTCACCACCCACTTTTTCTTCATTAAAACATCAACGTACAGTAAAGGTACACCGTTCATAGTCGTTAATGTTTATACACTATTCATAAACTTAAATATCACAAAATAAGTGATTCGGTAGCGTTCACTATATAACATCTTAGTGTTATAACGTGAAAATATAATGCTGATTAAGGGGGAGCGAATTATTGATCGGACCAAAGACGCACAAACACGTAGAACGACCTAGGGTTCTGATTGGTCTCGCTTCCCTGTCTAACCCAGCCAGTTGAGTCCAGAACGAAAGTCACAGCCTCGGATATATGAATCATTATATTTCAAACATGCTTTGTTTATATACCATTCAAGCAGTCCACAACGTACCATAAAATAGAAGATAATATTGTACAACAATGGCCAACAGGAAAATAACACGTTAAATAAATATCGACCAATGGGAAATGTACATTTAAGGTCCAAGGACACCATTGGACTTAACATGATAATTATTGGTCTATTTTTCCGACTACCTAACACTTAGTGAGATGTTGATTTTTTTAACCGGTATACTCGTAGCATTAAAAAGATTGTCTAATACTTATACACTGTTCGCCGAAGATTACTATTATATTCAACGGTACACATCTTCAAAAGGGGCAAGTTACCTAGATTTTAACCATGCTGTTTACACGGTCATTGTTGGAAATTTTTTTTGTACATCATATAGGTATGATATAAACTTGATTAAACACGATCTTATTGATCTATGTCAATTAAGCAAACGAAGATATTTCTCAGTCCGTGTCCTTAATGCGGTCTACATAAGCATGAGTGAGGAGGCGTAACCCACTAAAATTCGCTTGCATGTAGTGCCGGTTACTTTGTCAAGCCTATATAATTTATTCTAGTTTCTGGACACACAATTTATCCATTTTCTTGAGTCACGTTTTGACCTTTTTAATTATTCACTTATTAACCCTGACTTTTTATATGAGCGTATGTGTGTACATCTTATACTACTCATCACATGTTTGTAACCTATTTTTGTGTGGCTATAAATGTTAATTAAGAGGAGTTGGCTCACATGCCTCCACTGCGCGTCGTTTCGTTTCACTCTCGTCTTTGCTCCTTTTGTTACGTCTCTGATTATCGGTTACGGTTAAACAATTGTACAAATTATGTGTATTCGAAAATCCATTCTCGTATTTGACTTATTCTAATACTTTCATTCACTAACGCGAGTTATGTCGATAGCAATCATTCAATAGCGATCAACATATGATCTAATTGGAGTCAGTTAAAGGGCCACAAAATGCTCTTAGAACTATCCAAGTAGTTTAAGTGGATTATGAGATACCCAATCGAGTTCTTCATAGACAGGTTCGTTACTATAGGTATTGGGAATCGTCGAATTAGTCTTTTCTGTTCAATTTTTAATCCCAGGTATATAGTAGTGGCGATGAAGCAGCAATTTAACATATAGATAGTGGTTTTAAAATGTCATCTGTTTTTAATTATAAACTAATACGATTGATTTTGAAGCCTTCTGGACACATGTTGAAAGCAGCTATCGAGGAAAGCTATTATACTGCTAAACTAGTTGTGACTGAAAAGACAGCCCATGATTTCAAACAGACCTAGATAATGCACAAGTGATTGCGTCATATTCCATTGTATTACCAATTTACATGTTTGTGCGGACATACATGGAGTAGCAGTCGAACAATGCAGTCAAGGGTCATTGAACATGTGCCTAGATGACTTCAAAACCAATTAGTATCAAACGACCCGATCAATATGAGAGGTAGAAAACCATGTACATCGACAGCAAAACACATAATTGAAACGGGGCACCGAATTGACATCACTACAGCTTCTAAGATGTTGTATAGAAATTGTCAGGGACGAATCCTCAAGTTCATTGAAGCATTGGCTATCCGTAAATTTAAACCCATCTTATGTGCACAAAAACAATTTGCCGTAACCTGACGTTTATTAATTTTCATATAAAATGCCCTGACAAGTATGTGTGACCGGATTGTTTGAAATGTATAGCGCAATTATATCATATTTTTCAGATGAACTCCGTCTTCTCATTGTTCTATCGAAACAAAAGATTGATAAAGGCTTGATGATTATCCAGTGTGTTGAGTGGTTACGTTGTCTATTTTAGTCTTAATCAAAATCCGTTATGTTGTTTGCTCCCCAATAACAACTGAAGAATATGTTGCATAGGGATCATTGATGTGACTAGCATTGTCATTGTCCTTCCTGTCTTATATTTCTGGCATTCATCCATTAATGTTTTGGAGCAACTTTTTTTAAAATTTTTGATGTTTTTTAATTTGATGTTATTGATTCAGTAAAGTTGTTCATGTCACAGTTTTTGTAAAAAGCAATGTTCAGAAATATGGCGTTTGCTGATTTTAACTCGCAGAATCTGAGTATCACTTCCCTAAAAGTTTGTATCATAAAGTCCCAATAAACTTGTAACCTATCGTCTCCACTTAAAACCGGTGTGCAGAAACAGATCTTATGCAGTGTCTATACTAACGAATTTCGACTTTAAGAACGTACACCTTGATGATAGACTGCAGTGTAACAGAAGCCAAGGATGTATTTGTCTGTCAATTTCTGTCTTAACTATGTGTGAGCGTCATCGTATTACGAGTCTGGATATTTGTTATAGATCGTTATATTCAAACCAAATGATATTTTATCCGTTTAGTTTAATAGATATATAATTTATAAAAGGTCACAAATTAGATTGGATTTCTTGCTGTTTTATCTATCCTCAGTCCAACGAACGACTTCATTTTATTGATAGTTAGTGACATTCAGCCTTTAGACGAATAAGATCAGTCCTTATTGAATCGAGATTTTCTTCAAGTCTAAAAGTTAAAAATTAAATCAACTTAGTTCATAGTTGTATTAATAAGCTATTTAAAAGGCTTACAGTCATTTTTCACTTAATTATTGTAGTAGTATATATCAAAAATAGTAAATAAAATTTCCATATAATTTTCAGGAAAATATGCGTAACTTATAAATAGCCAACAAATTCACTTCAGACAGTCTAATCTCCTATTTGTCAGGCTTTGCTATTGATGAAATATTTAACTTTAGAATCCTCCGTCTTTATCACTTAAAAACTTATCTTCTTGATTTAATTAACAAATAACTGAACAGTAATAGATGATCTGACAAATAATTCTGTAAGTTGGTTTCGTAAAGAGGTAATATTACAGCTTAAGATAGATGCTGTATATCAGTAAGTCGAGAAAACAACATCATGACCAAAGTAATACAAGCTTGTGTCTTAATTACTTGACCAAAGTAGTGTTCGTGTATTAGGAAGCGATTAATGTGATGTCACTTAGTTCAACAAAGATTCTTTTTAGCAAATTTATTTTTCTAAGTTGTATTGTCATATATAGATAATAAGTAACCAGTGTGGGAACAAGTAATTTACAATTAAAAATGTTAATACATAGACTCAATATGTATGGACTCTCGGAGATCTTTTGATATGGAGAGCCAATCAAAAGTAAAATAGGTCGATCAATGGCGACCAGAAGTGACCTAAGTTTTCAGTGAATTTCATTGGGGTCAATGGGTCAATTTCCTAAGAATAGCACTGTATATATATGAATGAGTATTTGTGCATTCTATTCGGTAGTTCAATACACTTTCTCGCTTAAGTAGTCGTTTGGTGGTTAGCGCATAACATACCGTGTATCAGTATCAGATTCTGAACACCGTACGTCATAATATTTATAAGCCAAGTTCTCTGGAAAATCAAAATGTGGATATGCAGTGATTTTGAAACTTGGAGCTGTGGTCTTCAGGATATTTTCCCTTCATCAGAATTAATTAAGATGTATGTTTTTTGGGTCGTTTGTTCGCCAGCTGTGTGAAGATTATTTTTCTCTCTAACTTCAACATCAGATATGGACTTCTTTATCGATTCAACTTAGTCCTCGAACCGATATTTGTTATGTCCTGATAAGCATAATCAATGGTAACTTTTGGGATCCATTTATCGGCCAATACTATGCGTATATTTTTATGGTATAATTGTTAAACAACTAAACTATTCATATTCATGCCCCTTGTATTATGAGCCTTATTTTGACCTATGAACTATTATTATACTATTTACCATTCTTGAGTTATAACCAGTATATTAATTACTACCTCCCTCATTCACAGCCACATTTAACTAATTCTTGTACAAATGTTTCATATTTAATGGTAAGGTGTGGTCTGTCTGGTTGGTATCTAAACCCAGTATACTTGAGATAAATGATTCATATTGCAGAGGCTGAGATTGATGTTCTGGACTTAACTAAATGGGCTAAGCAGAAAGCAGAACCGACAATTACTCTAGACTGCTCGTACGGGTTTTACGCGTCATTGATCCGATCGGTAATTCACTGCTCTCTAATTGGCGGTATTGTTACGTTATACATTAGCAGGGCACACAGGCCACATGTTATAAAAATATTGACGTCGGTTTATTAAATGCATGAAGATTGTGAAATATTTTCTCCTTATTTATCTTTTAAAGACTGAACTTCATGAATACGGTTTGTAGTGTAGTGCTCAACTGTTTTTAATCCCTATTCGACTGTCTATCATAAACCCGACGTCCAAATACTTTGAAAGCATAGACGATGATAAATACATTCTTTTAGCAAGTGAATGTTTAACTGTTACATTAGATGTTAGACAAAACAACATACAAACTTTGTAAATTATTCTATTTTGGAAGAATCACTGCTTCTTTTAATTTACTAGGATACATCCATCAATTAGTGGGACAAGTGATGAAACAAAAGAATCGTTTTCTTGACAGGGAGTGGAATATTCTCATGATTAAACTCTAGCTCTTTTTCCCAAGTTAGTAAAGCGAACTGTGATGATGAAAATAAATCCTGTCTACGTTTCAGTTTATAAAAAGCGTATTGAATGGAATTTTATAGCACGCTACAATATTTCTTATTTCTGATAAAAAAGTAATTCTTTGGTAAGATTCGTTTGAATATGTTAAAACTACACATCGCAAATAACTTTAGCAGTAATTATTTAAAGCCCAAACTACTTTTACTGTGTAATAATTATTCTACTTAAGGTAATTGGATTCAAAGTATCATAACAACGTTATGTTTACTGAATTAGGATGAAAAGTAAAAACAAATACAACACAAGTTCTCGGCACACTTATTCATAACTTACCTTGAGTGACTAAGTTTCAGTTGATTTGCTGTTGTTTGGGCTAGTTTACCGACACATGATAATTCGTCTTCTAGTGCATCAGTTTCCATTTGACTTAATAACAACTTCAAGTTGCTCGTCGAACTCTCAAAATTCCTTTTAATATCTTCCAATTTAGTTAAGTTATTTTTGCTTGATAACTAAAGAAAACGTAGGTAAGGTTACTATTTACATACATTTTTATGATTCTGTTATGAGGTACCCTGTGAACATGAAAATGTAAGTATTACAGCATGTTAACCCGACTTTAACCCGATATCTTTTAAAAACCTTATTATCTTAAACAAATAGGGTTTTTGCTTCATTTTGACTAAAAACGTTGACTTCCATTCAATCGAAATATCTTATAATTCATTAAATAAGCCAGAATTTTTCGTTGCATATCACTTAAACAAGTATGTGAAAACTAGAACATTCACAAGAAAAAATCACTTTAACCATTGTTGAAGAACTCAGAATAAAGACAATCACAAGTTATGTACAGCTATATTTTATTGAAGAAAAATTTATTATTGAAATGAGCGGAGAATCTTTGCTAGCTCCTACTATACATCGCACCGTTTTGGATCTTAAAACATCTGATATATTTCCCACCAAAATTATGAAATATTAGTTACGGATACATGAAGTATCTACCAAAGGCTTTATATTTGTTTGGTTATGTAATATTCCTTAAAGAATCCATTTATTTCAACATTTAGTCACTTCTCGCATTTATTTACCTATTCTCTTTATTACTAAATATGTATTAGTATTAGTAAATAACATAAGTTGCTCTATACCATTATATACACTTCTTGATATAACTTTATCTTACTCCATGCATTTATGCTTGGTCATTCGGCGTACACTCCATCGCAAGCTGCTGAAAACTACATAATGGTGATTTCCTCTGTTAATGAGCAAACGTTTATCTATTGCTATAACCTCATATATACGCCAAAATATACTGGGATTTCATAGTTATGGGTAATTATGATAGGTTTTGTGACTGACTCCCTACAAAATTAGAGAGTATTGTTCGGGATCCCCAGATGAAAGCATATGATGTAACAAAAACTTTCACATTATTTAGGATCATTCAAATTTTACATACTTTATTCCGAAATAACCTGCTTCTCTTCATCCTGATATGTTAAGCTTCCTATTCACTTTACTGTCTCAGTAATTTGAATCAATTACTATGTCCATGAATGGATATTACTGAATTTCTAAAGAACTATACCACGTTGTACACCGTTATATCTGTCTTACATGTGTAATCCACATTTCTTCAGTGGCCTATTTTTTCTCCAAACGGAATCTTGTGAGCAGTGCTAACCTTTTTGTCATTAATGACTTAAAACTGGGATGTTTTATTTGTTTAATTAGGGTTTACCTAAGCAATAATATAAGGTGTGATAAAATGTAATGTGTTACGTTACAAAAATTGGCTTTGTTCCACTGTTTAAACCATGAAATCGTTCAAGCTTATCATCACTTTAAAATAGCCTGTACACATACCGTAGTGAACAGAACACGAGTGGGGGCAATCGAATGTATCTAACGCAAAATTACAGGACTTGTTAGTAAAATCTAACAATCGTAAAGTAAATGCTTAATTTGTGAAATGTCCATCGATTGTCTCAAAATGACTCAGACTTCATTGTTCTTGCATTTTTATACAAATTGCATTTTGTTTCCATTCTTTACTGTTCGATCCTCTTGTCTCTGCTGCCAGACCTTCTGTTCACGACTAACATCATTTACTACTTATGTCAATATAAGTAGCACACCACAATGCAATAATTTCTCTATGTAATATTTTTTTCAAAGCAATAAATTCTCAGATTATACTTCATCACTCATTATTTTAAGGAACGAAATTAATTTATGTTTTCTATGATGGTAGAATTACTTTTGTAAGGCTTTAAAAGTCAGCGCTATATTATATATAGTTCTCTGTCAATTATGCAGTTGCAAAAGAAATAGATATCGGGTTCATGAGAAGCTCGATAAAGATATGGCCTTCTAATAAAGATTACTGGATATAGAATATCAGTGCAGTGATATAATTTATGCAATCCATATTAATCCCATTGATTATCAACATAATTTTATAGTGTGTCGACACTTTGATGTGAGCGAATAAACTCTTGTCTGGTTATTCTTGCAAGCCAATATTTTTTTCAACTAAACGATTTATTATATTGCAAAACAAACTGACTACTGGAATTTTTTCTACATCTTTATCTTATTGATTAATTACAGTGTACTCTATTATTTCCTATTTTTGACATGCACAATAATATGTTCATTGTCCTTTACTAAATGACTGGAATAAACACGTTGAACAACTTTCTTCCTAAATTTTTCATACTATTCATGAAATGATAGTTTTAACTCACTTCATTGTTTTTTCTAAAAGTATATCCTGTTAATTGATTAAAACACGTTTTTAACCAATTCACTTTGCATTTTAATTCAAGAATCAGTGAAATCAGAGATACTTTTTCACTAAATCCTATATGAAATTCTTCGTTGTCTAGGTCTTGATCATTGAAGTTTTCTGTTTAAAAAAACGCGTAAGAAACGCTTAATTCACTAGTTTGAAAATGCTACAGTTAGACGTATCTAGTGAGAATTTATTACCTCATAATGATAATAATTTTATTTAGATTTTTATCTCAGTATCACCAGTGATACGCTTTTTGTAGCATATATCAATCTTATGAAAACCAGCAAAATCATTGTAAACTAGTAGAAACTTAAGAATGAATGCATTGAGACTAAAGTCTTTATATTCAGACACAAACCGTGAATAGATCAAATTATAGTTTAAGTAGTCACACTTAGTAGTCACATGTATATGGCATTCTAAAAAAGAGTAATTGCTACTTATCGAATGGTTATTTTGAATCAGAAAACGTAAATTAATCAAGATTGAGGTATTTAGTTTCCTAAAAGTGGAATCTGCGGACCAGCTTTAAAAATAAATGTCTGTGTGAGTAGTCTATTTTCTTTAGGTGGAACTCCTTATATCACCACATACAGTTTTAGTTTGCAAACTCATAATAATTTGTACCATTATTTAAAAACAAATATTAGGGTAAATTACGCACATCTGAAGTATTTACTGTTAGAAATATAGTGTCATATTGACATTTTAAATGAATTCAAAATATGGTAAAACGGCATAATTTACTTGAAAAGATGGAAACGAGATAGCTGTCTTGAAATCTATAAATTGTTTTATTCAATACGTTTGTTAATCAGCTGTTGTACTATGGAATTTATTTAGCACTATACAGTTCGCATTATGGTATCCATATACACTCTTCCGTAAAACATGGATCTTTTCTTCTATAGATGTTTCGAAAAATAGTCTTCAGAGACTTTTAAAACGTTCAGTAGTCATGTTTAGTTAAGAAGAGTGAGTTGTGTTCAACATATTCCGCTCGATTATACTACTATCTCCTAGCGTAGCCAACCTATTTAGTATTATTCGAATGGATTATTTACAAATGAAATATTCCGTAGTTGTATACGTTTTAAAGTGTATCTACATGAAAACTATACTTCGTACGTTGGCAACTGGAAGTTACCTTGATTAATAATAACTGAAGCTCATTGTACTGACATATGCATAAAGTAAGGAAAAAAACCAACCTTTTCCGTGATATTTAAGCAATTTCTCCAACTTTCCTGTCAAGTTTTCTAAATCATTTGAAATCCATGTGATAGCGCATGATATCACTGTGTCATCTTTAGCATCGTTATCCGGCTGTGAAGCGTCAGTCTGTACAATTTGGTCTATAGTCACATAAGGCTGAAGATGAAACAAATAGTGTATGGCTTTCACGAATTTTATGCCGTAAACTAACAATATTAGAATAGACCTATATTATAAACTAGTGATTTGTTAATAAAATGATACGTAATAAAAGTAGGTAATACAAGGAATACACTAGTACTAATTCAATAAATTACATGTCTACATATAATTCAATTGGTTGTAAATAAATAGCTACTCAGTTACAATTAATTGATTGTTCAATATCAAGGTTAGAATTCCATGTATTCATTAAGGTAGGTAGCATAATGCATGTACAACATGATATGTGCTTTAACTCTGATATTTCCAGTTAATTATCAGCTTTTGCAATTGACTAGAGCTTCTTTACAAATCATGTTATAGTTACCACTTGATGAGTTATAATCAGTTTTCATCGGGTACGTTTTAGATCATCCCGATGTCTAATTGGTGTACATGATGGAACTACTTTCTTAACAACAGTGTTCACAAAAAGTAATTTCTTGTTTTAAGTAATCGCCATTCATAATAATTTAGTAATTGAGTCACTTGGTTTCCAATAACTAAAATCTCAGACTCAAACTTTGTTTTACCGAATTCGGTGAACGTAATAGGGCAGAATCACCGTCAACAGAATTCTCGGGCATTGATCTCCTACCAGGAGATCCACTTATCGACTTAGAATACAAAGATGACACAGTCCTGTTTGGCGAGGACGCCGGTAAAATGCAGTGTCCTGTTGTAGCACTGAGCAACAATATCAGGATATTTAGAATGCGCTTCTCATTTAAGGGACGAGTATACTGCGCAGCAGTTCTTTTTGTTCTTTACGGCTGCGAAACGTGGCCACCAAGAGTTGAAGATACTCGTAAGCTACTAGCATTTGATCACAGATGCCTTAGAAATATTACTGGGATCACTGAGTATGTAATAATGATGTTAGACGCAAAACATTAGAGAACGATGGCAAGTCAGTTGATGAGGTTGTGAATATTCATCAACTGAAATGTTCGAGTCACGTGTTGCATATGCCTGAACATCGATTATCACGACACGCACTGCTGACTAGTGTTGGGAATTGTTGGCCAAACCAACACTTGGCACCAGTCTTTCAAGTCACTAGCTTGTGGCGTGAGTCATGTTGGTAGATTCAGACTACTTGGTTGAGGTTCGCGCGACTATCGTAACTAATGGTTGGAGACTCTCAGTGACATGTCTCTGAAGTGATCACAATGGCGTAGGTGTATACAATCCCTGTTTTCCCTTAAACCATGAGATTAAAATCGCTTCATGTCTTTCTTTCTACGTACTAATTCTCTCTTCCTGTACTATATCCTTATACAAGATGTTTCTCTTTATATATTACCACCATTGACTTAACCACTCCTATGAATCCGGCGTTCATCTTGCTGTGGTAGTGCGGTACGGCAACATGGACCGATACATATATGTTCCTGGTCCTACGTTGTAGTTGACTGACTGAATCTATATATAAGATATGGCATAAAATCTAAATACACGAACTTGTATTCGCTGAATTAATTACATTATCAACAGTGGTTGTTTTGAGAGATATATATTCAACCTGGAGGTTATTCATATTATATTGTCCAAGAAACCAGTGAATATTGAGATCGACCTTCCTTAAAAGCCAGACATAATTAATAGGCCAGCTTTTATGTGAAAACAAATCATCTATATGTGAGAAAACTTTCATTCAAAAATATTGCTACCGTGCAGATCTTTACAAGTACATCAATTGTCATATAAAACGATTAAATTATAAAGAGAAATGGATGGGTGAACAATAATGTTTACAACTTATATTTCATACTCAAACGTTTTATAAAAGTAGTAATTAAAACTTTTATGGAGTACACCTGTTATGATTGAATAATCTCAAAGTGATATATTAAATACACGCTAAGTGCAGTCATGAAATATTTCCATCCATGAAGGAACATCTGCATCAGAGTATTGCATCAAAATGTTATATGTACACCGTATGTAACTGAATAAGACACTATATTAGGTAGAGTTTCATCAGAAAGTGATAATTCTACTTTACTTATTTTTAAACATTTTTTGGAGGTTGAACGTTGTTTTCACAAAATAATGATTTATCTCATTTTACTACATTACAGGTTGTATGTCATTAAAATTATCTGTGGAAAAATTCTATTTGACTTTTAACTTTAGAATTTCTGGATGATTCAAGTCCTTTTGGAAAATAAACCGCTAAAAATACCAAGTATTTATTAAAAAAGTTTCTGCAGCATATACTTTAGTAAACACTGAAAACAAAAAAAATTTATTCAGCGTATTCTTATTCACTACAACCTTATATCTGAATATGTGCAAATTATTAAGAATATATATTCAAAAAAGGGACGTATTAGTGAATAAAGTTTGGCATTCTTACATTTCAAATAACATATCCATCAAACTGAAGATAACCACTACAAGTAAACTTAGTAGATATACTTTCAGTTACAGTAATAAAAAATGACACTATAATACTATTTCTGCAGGAAACCGTCTCCGCATTTCGTCATAGTTACTTATGTAAAATGGGTGGATTTAATCATTACTCCATTTGTGTAGGTTATAAAATCACTGATTCTTAACAATCGTATTCGGAGACATGTATTTAACAAGTTTAACATATCTTACTTGTTTTATCTTGTTATTAATTAAAATTGTTTGCATTTCTTTATCTACATATTCCTTTTCTTGTCTATTGATATTTTGTAGAGAGTTTTGTGATTGAACATATGCCCATCCAGTTTCCCAAAATAAATTATTCAAACGATTCATTTGTTCGTATTGTTTCTTTAAATGTTTTGATAATAAATCTCTGTTATAACGTAGATGAACAAGTCTTCTACTTAAACGTGTACGAGTAGTTTGACATTGTTCCCATGCACGTTTGGCTTTGTTCTAAATTAGAAAAAGATGGTATGAAAACTAATATCTATATTGTATTGATAGAACTGTCTTATAATGTGAGTGAACAGTTTGATTATATACAAGTTTTATAAATTCATGAAGTAAGCTTATGCACAGTATGATATAAATAGGGAGCATGAATAGAAGCTCATATGCCATATCATCTTACTTGATATCTTTGTTTTATAAATCGTTCTTTTTCGATGAAATGATTTTTTTCCAATTCAGTTTGTTTCAATTTATCAGCATAGAGACGACATTCAAATTGCATCATTGAAATATCTTGATCTTTTATTGTTAATAAATTTTCAATCAACTTAATTTGTTCACGAAGATCTGATTGTTCCTCTGTTGATTTTTGATTGATTTTTATGAGCTTTAGAGAAAAAAAGAGGAAGTATTATGTCATTGAAATTGTTGATTAAAAATTAATAAAACAAAAAAAACGAAACATACAACACTACATCAACGATTAAAAACATTAAATTTACAAATGTGATATTCAATTGAGGGTATTGAAAATAAACAATTTACTCGTTGATTGGGAAACTATAATGTAAGTGTTAATACTTTCAAATCTTTATGAAATAAAAACGAATTCTCACTACTCATTAAATAATATCTAATTTTAGATCGTAAAATTCTTATTTCATGCATTTGCTTCCTTTGACAACAATTTGTGAAGTAAAAACAACAAAATATTATGAAATGAAATAGATCCATTTCATTTCATGTCTTCTAAATATACCTCACTAACTTTTGTATAAATAAGTAAAACGCTTTACAAATTTATATTTAGCCTATGAGTTAAACTTTTATGAAAATAGATAGTAATTATTATTATTCTACTCTAATAAACCTGTGGTGCGTGCTACTTATATTGATATAAGTAGTATATGACGCGAGTCAGGTATGTAATGTCTGGCGGTAGAAGATGGGGAAGATAAGGAAAGAAAGAGCGGGAATAAAGGGCAATTAGTATGGAAATGCGAGAACAATGAAGTGCGAGATAATTATTGAACATTTTGCAAATTAAGTATAATAGTATGGCTTTTCTATTTTACCAAGTAACTCTGTAATTTTGTACTAAATAAAGTTTGATTGTCCTCATCTGTGTTCTCCTTCACTACAACCCAAATAAATTTATGCATATTACACATGAATTTGAATTTGTAAGTATTTCGAAAATTTAAAACACACAAAATAATTTAATTTAATATCATCACAGAATATTTTGTTGTTGATGTTTTTTGGATGCTTTTATTTCTGAACAAAAATTCTTGAGCTAAATTCCTAGGTAGATATATCAAATTAACGGCTAGAAATTTTATATCTAGGTTTCATATTCAACCTAATATTTCTCAAAAATTCGAATTTTTAGTTCAAAGCTCGATTATTTTGACTACTCTCAAGCATTAGCTACTCTTCAAAATGCGATTGAAATAGTATTCCATAGAATAATAAATCATAAATTCATTTGAAGGTTTAGTATGCTAAAAGCAACAGGATGGATTTTGATAAAAGTGGTCATGAGCCATAGTAAACTTTTGATAACCATTTCATTAAGTAATACTTTTAACTTAAGTAAGGGAAATGAACCATAAGCACTACAATAAAACTGTACTCGATATCTCATTCAACAGAAAGGATTAGCTTGTATGAAATTTTTTTAAAACTGAAAACCTTTGCCAAAGTTAAGATATAGGTAAGGTTCAATAACCTCTATTAATAAATTATCGAATTATAACCAATAAATGCATGGTTGATAAGTGTTGTTTGACAAACTTTCCACATTTTATTAGTGTGTGGTGAATTCAGGTTTCAAATTTATCTTTGTAAGTTAAATCTTTATACTCTATCATTATTAATTTAGTTTGAGTAGGAGTTTATCTGTGATAGTATTAAACTTGGGTGTTTGTTTAGTTTGTAGTGTAATAAATGAAGAGTAATTCATTATTACCTTAATCGATCTATCTAGCTTTGTTTCATTCCATTTACATACTGAAAAATCATTTGCAAATTTATTGCAAAGCCAAAGAGTTCTTTATTTGCGGTTCGATTGAAACGACAATAAAATATTAAAGAAGATTATTTTTTATCACATATCGACATCAACTTGAGAATCAATTAAACCTATGCGTACTGAACAGCTGGTTCACTTTAGCTTGAAATTAATAAGTAACGGACAAACAAGGGTTTAGACCAAGTACCTCTCGATTTCCTATATACCAGTGAACTGAAATTGCGATTACATTCTCAAGTCTAATATACCAATAAACTATCTCAAAACTCAACAAATATAATCTATGGGTTACTGTTAAACTCCGAACTTTAATTAGTTTTATTTTGTTATAGACTCCTGTATTCAATGATAGTTGTACTTGTTTGTAACTACCCAAAATATTCGATGTTATTAAGAACCTTATTGGAAACTGGATGGATTTACACATGTTTTTATAGTTGTGTTTACTTAATAAATTCACATTGTTTAGAAAATATCTGACTAGATTGTCAGCGATGCGTATATCAATTTATACACTAACCTCATTTTTATCTGAATCCATTGTAGAAATTTTTAATTCTTGATTAAATATTATTATTTGTTGCTCCTTAATTTGTTCATTCGCTTCAGCTAGCTGTTTTCTTAACTCCTTTTGGCCATCTTCCAACAATGCATCTAGTTTCTTCTGTTGAGTTTGTTCGATCTACAGTATCGGCGTTAATGGTACAGATTAATAAATAGAGGATCTTCATATGCGTAAAATATATTTTATCTTTTTATGATTTTATTTTCTATTACCACAGTTGTTTGATTATGAGGGTCTTATCATCTTACTGCAAACGATTGTCAATTTATGCTTCAGATGTTTTAAAATCTTTTCACATATGCTGAATCCTTTCATTCTAAAGACCAGGCTAACAGTCGTTTGTACGCAAAGCGTTGTTCTCTTCATCCTTATTTATATTCGCAGTAACTGTTTGTATCAGCAGTGTTATTATAATGTACTGATAAAATCAGCTTAACGCCGCAAATTCAGCCTTAAAATCCATGGAATATATCGTTTAAGTTTAGATGAAAAGCGTTTCAGTAATCAAGTATAGGAAATTTTTGATCTGAATTTACTGCTAGATTTTCGTTGAATGATATTACTGTTGCATCATGAACTTAAGCAAATACACGATGAATACTACCCTTATAATATAATAATTACTCATTAATATTAAAGAATTTGACTTAATATAACGGATTACCGTCAAATTTTTTTTAATCATCTAGACTATCATAAGAACTAAGGTGTTTACAATGAAACATTAAGTACCGTTCATAAACTAATTTGCACAAATTATTAGCTACACAAGCATTTTTTACTAGGCATGGTAATACAGAATAATTACTTTCTAAACAATCATCCCATTAGTAAAAATAATTACGATTTAGTTATCATACCAATTATAAAAACAATTAAACATGAAAAAATTCGAAACTGTTAAGAAAATTTAAAGGTAATGATTAGCCAAAAATAAAGGAAAATGTCTAACATTTCCACAAGAATTTAAATATCCCTTAGTAGTTTTATAAATAAATTTATCAAACCAGACTAATAACTAATACAATTTTTTAGGAAAGTAATTGTGCTTCCATCAGAGTAAAGATTCTGTGTCGAAAAAGTTGCTTTGAACATATTTTTTTAAAATCCAAATACAATTTAGTATACAACCTGAACAACACTGGAAATATAAATCATGATGGACTTTGAAAATCTTGTCCTGATATTATTAAAGAGACTAATTTATTATGAAGTATGTATATATATATTATAAAATAATCATACGGTTTTAAGTTGTTCTTCATTTTGGCGGCGATTATGTTCAATTTTTTGCAAGAGTTCATCAGCCCTTGAACGTTCCATATCCAATTGATTCATTAGTCCTTTAATATCGTCATAATAACGTTGTTTACTTTGTTCATAACTAAAAAAAATCATTTATGTTATTGATCTTAGATTGAGATAGTAGGAAAAAAGATCATAATTTGCAAAACTTTGTACCTAAAATAATTTCTTTGTTGTATTTCGATATTTTCATGCACAATCTGTAATGATGTTTTGGACAGTAGAATAACTCATAATAATTAAAATAGTTTTTATAATATAAATCATCAAATTCATGAACAAATAAAGCCAGGCAAGAAACAACAACTTGTAGATTCGAAGGATATCTTTAAAAAAATTTTCATTCGGGGGTTAAAATATATAGACTTCTAAATACAGCTAAACTGAAAGATATTTCAGTCTTTTATTGAATTTTTAAATACGACTGACTGTAAAAATCATCGCTATTTCTATCGTATTATTTCTAATTCTTTCTGTTACGAAATCAATTTTATTCTAGCCATAACACTACGATTATTTGAAGTTGCTGCAGGATGTCACATAAATATTATTAATCATTCATTTTTCTGAAGATAATTGTCACCACAAACCGATGACAGAACAAATATTTTGTTTTTCCTTCCTCAAAAAATACCACAAAAATTTGGATATAAATATACCACTAATATTGAAAATTTACTATATTTTAGTGGATAACTTCGTGTATTCATCTTAATGTATGGCAGAAATATGAATTTTCACACTTATACAGAACGTTTGTGTCAAAATAGAAACCTAACATCTTAATTTTTGATTAGTGGGATAAATTAGTATAGTCACAGTCATCGGGTTCTCTGATCTAGATATATTAACAATATAAGGATTTCATCACTGTAGAGCAATTAACATTTATTTGAAAATAATCACAAGTAAGTATATGTTACTTTGCTGCCAAAAAAACAGATAGTTTCCAAGTGCCTAATCAGTAAGTATAAGAAAGGATGTTTCATGAGTATATTTATGGTGGCTTTTGTGCCTTGAAGTAACAATCTCCCTTCCAAAAAAGCTGATAGGCTTCTCCGAGCTCAAATGGCTGGTACACCGCACTGAGATTCTAATTGTTGATGAAAATGGATATATTTTAGTGGCAGTAGAAATAGGGTAATTTAAAGGAGTGTATGAAATCAAAATGTCCGAAATTTCCACGAACCATCTGATGAAAGAATGTTGAAAACTCAGATATTGAACAGTGTATTGTATATGGACATATCATATCTAAACAAATAGGAAAGCCCCTAAAAATCAAAATTTATAAGATTAAAAAATTCAGGATAACATTTAACTTGTCGTCCAACTCTTTCATTCGTCTCTCATATAGTAACCGATTGTTTTCACAATTTTTTGCATTCAATTCTGCTTGCTCTTTACACTGTTTCATAATCACGAATTCACGCGATAAGGTTTGGTAATTCTCTTCATTCTGACTAGTTTGTAATTTGTAAGCATTAAATTGTGTTTCGATTACATTTAATCTTTGATTAGATTGTTCTAATTCAATCAATAAATTGTGTATCTGTTCTTGTTTTGAACTGAGCTTGTTTTTTAATTCGGTTATCTGAATAAACAAGGAAGAAAACAGTGATATGCTGGGTTAACCAGACTACCCGTATGAATAATGTCAAATAATTAATAATAACAATAGTAACCACCACTCAAAGCAATCAACACATAATGAAGGATGTTTAAATGAACCACTCTCTGTCTCGAGGTTTGTAGTTTATGGAATATTTTATTTGCTAAATTGTGCGTAACAGCAAGCACTATATTTTCGTTTTTTAACTGCTAACAGTCTGAGTTTTTTCAGAAAAATTAGCTGTAAACTAAAAGAAGTGGTTAAGAGGAACACTACATCAAATAATGAAAAATTATTTAGGTAGATTTAGTCTACATATGATCTGAACCAATTGTAATAGTCATTTAATTATCTGTGTATTATTATCGGTAGTAACAAGTTGATAAACGACAAATGTTTCGGAAAATAAGGTTGTTAACTTATTAATACAATATTCTTTTGGGACTTCTAGTAAGATATATAGTTTCCGATAGATCGACATAGAGTCAGATTATAATTGAAATATTGTTCTCAAATGATGTAATAGAATTAAGTACTACTATAATAAATTTAGTCTCACCAAGTAACTTTATTATTGAGCTACTATCTTTAATCTCACATTAAAATAATCTACACATCTATGCAACCGTAAATCATACATATGTTTATTAACGAAAACGTAATTTATGTCTATTGAGAAAAGAATAACAATATTATTTTGATAATAAGCCAAGATAGTGAGATGGGTCCGGATCAGCAATTCAGTCATAAAAACGTAGGGCCTGGCGAAAATCTGTGTTTGTCCTAGATATCATGCCACACGACCATAAAAAATTAACTGAAAAATAGCAAACAGTCAAAGTAATATGATAGTAATTATAAAATGAGGGACTGAAAATTCGAAATCTGGTAAGAAAAGACAGCAAGAAGGCCTACATAGAGAAATACTGGAGCTCAGGATCTAGATGATAAAGAGTAGATGTGTCTTTTCCGTTGGAACCTATTCTTGGCCATTTTATTAAAAGTATTCTGTCACCCATAGTTATTGTTGCGTAGACCATTACTGGGCAGTCTACATCCATCAACGTGTGTCAGATCCTTTCTTCCAATTTATTTTCTCACCAATATACGTTACGGCATTCCCTAACCACATCAACCGATAAACATTCACTAGCCTGATCGACTGATTCATTGACTTAGTTTAGTACTCTGTTCCTAAATTTGTTATTGCCTGCTTGGTCATCCCAGCAATATTTCGAATGAATCTATAATCAGATGACAAGTAATTTATGAAGATTTTTTGTTTTAAAAAACCACGCTTCACACTTAAGGAGTTAAACTTGAAGGACCTACTCCACAAGTGATGCGGATTGGTAAGAGCCAACGAGGCGTTTCTAGTCTGTACTAGGATTTTTCAGAAAAATACCCGTTAAATCTGACAAGATTTCCAAGGAAATTGAAGTGGCTGACACTCTCAGCTACTTCAATATCTATAATTAGTGTCGTAATTGGCACAGAAAAGTCAGTAGGTAACATTTTTCAAGAAGAGGAGGAAAGAAACGCACCAAATATACATCGGCTGTTCCTTAAGAAAATCATTAGACCATTCATCGGGTCGGTTTAGACTAACAGAATTATGACATTTAATTGTTCTAAGTAGGTAAATGAATTTCCTGATAGTGGATCAACTACTGGAAGTTTGGTGAAGAAATGGTAGCTTCAAGAAGTAAATTTATGACGAAATTCAATAAAAACTAACACGGCGGGCGACAACGGCGACCACTTGATATTAGTAGTTCTGATACAATTGTGGTTAGACACAGACAAGTATACCTACGTTCTAAAAAGCAATGAAGAGTGGTCATTTGGTTATTGCATACATATCTGTATCTGAAATCAGATCACAAGCCTTAATTAGCGATCTAACGAATACAGAGGCTGGTATTTTAGGTAATATACTAGTCGGTCTGATTCCTTCGTGGTTATCAAGGAAAGATCTTTGTCCTTATAAACCAGGAAGATTTGTAATTGGGGCCAGCTGGATGAGCTCAAATCTACGACATAATAAGCAACAGATAATTCAAAATCTTTTCGATTCTAAATTTTACGGTAATCACATTTTATAACTAACCAGGCTACGTAAAAATAACTTTTAAGTTTCAAAAATTGAGTAGTTCCTTGATAATCATCCAAGTTTATTCATTTTTTTCAGGAAAGCTCGAAAAATAAAACTGACTGTTATGACGCAAGACTGAACAAATTAGTACACTTTTTAAATTAACCGATTTTGAGATCATCAAAGCAATAAGCAATTAAATGAAAGATGTCTAAATAAATTTTAAAACTGTCATGGAAATGTTGTTACCAATGGACACAAAAGATTACAAAATATTTGGAGAAGTAAAATTGATTCAGGGGTTTTCCCTACTGTGGTGGACGCTCCTCACATGAATAATTCTTAGTGTATGTGACATAACGTGGCATTAAGGCTGTAAGAGTTGTCAGATCAAGAAGAGGATTTCTGTAGATCAAAAACAAAGTATAGGGAAAACAGTTGAATGACAGAAGAGAAGACAGTTTGCATCACAAGATGCAAATAGATGACCAAAGGCTATGTATACAAGTTATAAAAATGTCTTCTATATTCTATGGATTTTTCAGCGCAGTATAAACAGTCTTGAGTCGGTACTATGAGATGGCTTTTTTTTCACACGATATCCCCGTCTTTAAAGTTATGAATACATAAGGCTGACAACTACAAAGGTAGGGAATTTTTCAAAGGAGCTTTCTGATGATACATTCTAAAACATGTTTGACTAAACATATTAAAATAATGAAACGTTTATTAATGCCATCATTGATCTTCTTCCCTTATAAGTTACCTGTTCTTCATATTTGATATTCTTCTGAGTGGCCTTTTCTTTGGCTCTTCTTAACTCTTTGATTTCACTTTCATATTCGTTGCGCTTTTCAACCCACTTAATTTTGTAACTTTCACGTTCAGTTAACTCATTGACTTGTTTATTTAATAGATCGCTTTTACTGTTTTGGTCCTGCAGACGAGGATGATTAGCACTTTGGTTTGCATGATTACAAGTCCATTCATTATTTTGATTATGAAATGAACTCCGTTTTTCTTCTGAATCACACAAATTACATCCAAGTACGCATATTTGTTGCTTTGAATCATTTAAAAATGCCAAACCGTCAATTTTACGTGGTTGAATAGCGTGTTCAGCATAAAAGTAAAAAAAGTTAGTTGATCAACATAGGTTTATTAATGAAATAACGGCTGATATCGTAATATAATGATAACTATAGTAATTTTTAAAATATTATCTGTAGTCAATGGATGTGTGTCCGAAGACTCTACCGTAGTGTGTATAAATTTTTATTCCAGTGATCTGGTGTGACTCAAGCAAGTGTAATGATCGGAAATGGCGTAATTTGAAATGACTAGGGGTTCTGTATATACCGGTATTGATATCATAGATAACAAAGTGAGCACATCTGAAAGTATTGTATCTGGTAATTGAATCAAATGCATATTCATGTACGAACAATTTGATTGGTTGTTATAAATAATACAGTGTAGCTCAATTGTGTCAATTTATCGAGCAATGTAACTTGCTTTTCACCTACACGGTGTATTTATTATACATTCTGTTAATAGTTTAATAAGTAACTCAAGCGAAGTAAAAAAAATTTACTCCTTAAGTACACAACTTTTGAGTGACACAAAGAAATCAGCCATACGTATCTCTTCTTGTTTGCTTAAAGTGCTCTAAACACGGCATTCGAGATTTTTATTCAAAATCATATTTCAAGATCAATTTTAACTTTGTAAAACGTGATAACTAAGATACGAAAGATCATTGTTTATAGAGCAGATATATTAAACAAAACATGAGAAAACTTCGTAAAGTACCGCCAATTTCATCAATGAGCTTCCCACTTTTAAGCACTTACCTGATTATAAAAATCATCTAATCCGTTTATACACATAAGCGTTGGTTCTATGCTTTTAGACCATTTACTTGGAAAACAAACGCGTGCTTCAGAGGCATATTTGGTTTTTACCGGAACTCCGGCACCGTTTCTTAAACCATCAACTTTGAAATGATTTTCTACGCATTGCTCACCTTCTGAATCACCTTGATTTTCGTAAACGTTGGTATCATGTAAAACAGTGTTATTGGTCGGCAAGTAATTCTGTGAATGTTTTAAATCTGAGGAACAATTCTCTCCATTGGGTGGCTTCGAAGTTTCGGATAATGTAGGCATGTTAAATAATATCCTAGTTTATCCTTAGTCCAACTTTTATAACAAAATAAAGCAAATATAACGATCAAATTTGATTGTTTTAGTTAAACAATGCTTGATAATTGTTATAAACAATGAAGCTAACCACCGAATCAATGAACGTTTTGTAGAAAAATTGTGGTGCATTCATAGCTGTCTATTGGTAAATACAGAATAAGCGCGAAAAACTCATCAATATTTGTAAAATGTATATTTCAAGGCCGCATAAGTGTAGATAATTAGCGCACTAAAACAAGACTTGTGACATTGCTTACTTTTTAGGAGAATGTAGAAATTACTTTGAACTGTGTTCATTCTTTGTTTTTAGGTTGTTCAAAGGTTTATTCCTGTAAATGTAATTTTTTCATCTAAAATAAAAGAAGTTTGAACAAATCTTATTCCTGTTACATTTTTGATCATATTACTGTTTCTCATTTTGAAAATTCTTCTTATCTATCCGTTTCACGGTGTTTGGAAGTGACATTTAAGGCTAAATACAGAAATGATCGTTTCATGTACTGCATAGTTGGATTCAGATGTTCAGTTTTCCTTGTAAACAGTTCCACTCTCGATTTAACATTATTATACAGTCCCATGGATTATCTTTATACCCATATGAAAAGAACATAATTCGAAGATATTGAGAAGCTGACTTTCAATGACAAATTTTGTAATAATATGCAATACTGACACGTCAAGTTGGAATGCGTAATGGTATAAAAATCTTCAAAATAAATATTTCGGTTATTCTTGAACAGTTTTGCTAATGTCACTGGTTTCACAACATGGCTAGATACTTTCTGTGAAGCATCTTCACGAGACCATGGTTGTGGACGCCTTGTTACTCATCACTTACAACAATTAGTCAGCTCAGATCATATCCTCGTCGACGAATTATCCGTCTTCAAATCATACCTTCCAACTGCTTTATACGAAACCCCTGGTTCGTCTGGCTTTAGAATCCTTGGTTGAAAGGTTGAAGATGCCACAGGTGATACAGAAGATAGCGTTGTCATGCAAGCAATATCCGTGAAGTCCTTCAATCAACCCAATTTGCATGTTATATGTTGAGCAGATATATTTGGACTCACCCGTGCATTAGTTCAGAATACGTTCCTATGTGCGCAAATAGGAGCTTATTGTAAATTTGAAAGAAGTCAAACTCAGATGATATTATCGAAAGGGCTGCTATCCTAATCTTAAACGTAGATTCCCTGTCCATTTTGCAAAGTGCGATGAATTATCCATTAATCTATATAGTCGTGTGTATTTAAATGATCATGTTGTTATTTTTCAGTATTCACGCATATCCATCTTGAAGGGTCTTCACTTTTGACGTTGAAATGTTGAGAAAACAAAATCCTTGGCAAGGCTCACATGTTGACGGGGAGAGATAAGTGCAGATGTACATCGTGCAGCAAGCAATTTTGAAAAAATCCTTATTATAAGCAGCACCGTCAAGATTATTGGAAGATTCCCCGTTAGAATATAACATGTTTTAAGTCTTGAAGAGTTGCATAGCATTATAAAAATGTTCTTGGACTATTCACAGGGATTTTAGTGACGATTTCTAGATACCGACAGTTTAATTATATACAACTGAAGTTCCGACAGGATATCATTCTGGTTTCCGTAGTCTTTTATAATGGTAACCAACCTATTTTAGATCATGCACATTGCAAACTCCAAACACCGTCGAACAAATATAATGATTTGCATAACAGATTACAAATCTCTAGATTGCTATTTAATCTTGGTACTTGTGCTACCTGACTGTTTCTTTGTACACTATTCTGAGGCTAATTTTAACTCCAAGTACATTACTTTGGCTGCACTCACAGAGTTATTTCGTACTTGCACGTCACTACTTGTGTACAAATTGTGTAGTAAACGAGAATATGTAACACCTTAGGTTGGTTGGTTATGAGGTGACCTCAAACAATCAAGCATATGCCAAAACAGTATTGTCAAGTATTCATTCACTTCCTTATTTTGCAGAGGCGTTATATTTCCTATTATATTATATTGAATATTGAAAGGCGTTGTTTGTCTGAACAAATAATCCCACGCTCCACTGTGACTGCGCGAAGATCGAAATAAAGACCTAATCACTACTTGTCTGGCTTCTTCTATCTATAGCACGAGGGTTACCTTAAGGCACGAAAAATACACGTGGGAACAATCGAATGTATTTGAAAACAAAATTATAGAATGTCTTAGTAAAATCTGAGGATCACACAATAAATTCTTTATTTGCAAAGTGTTCAACAATCGTCTCTGACCTCATTGTCCCTGCATTTCCATACCGATTTCTTTCCCTTCCCGTTATTTCCTCCTCGGTCTTCTCAACATTCTTCTGCCAGACATTATATTACTGACCAGCGCTACATACTACAAATGTCGACATAACTAAAACACACCACAAGTGAACAGTTATATTTATTGCTAGTAAACTGATCGATTTTTACAACTTCTAATCATCACATATTTTAGTTGCAGTAGTTACACAGTAGCGCTTACAATTTCAGATGAAACCTATCATACAAATCCAGGATGCTGCCCATTTAATGAAAGGCCAAGATAAGCAGAATCGGAACTTATGACGTCTAGCCGATTACGATAATTATGTTGCATTATTTAGAAAAACGTCATTCTGTCTGATCTCGGTGTACTTCATCCAATAATCCAAATTACAGCTGAACCGCTTAAGGACTTTAATCACTAATAGTGTATCATCATGTTTAAGATATTACTTACTTACACCTGTTACTCCTCGTGAAGGAGCATAGGTCGCTCACCAGCATTCTCCATCCAACCCTGTCCTGGGCAATACTTTCCAGCTCCTTCCAGTTGTAATTCATCCTTTTCATATCTGCTTCTATTATCCGACGTAATGTGTTCTTTGGCCTTCCTCTTTTCCGCTTCCCTTCAGGATTCCAAGTTAGGGCTTGCCTCGTGATGCAGTTTGACGATTTGCGTAATGTATGTCCTATCCATTTCCATCGTCTTTTCCTAATTTCCTCTTCAGCTGGAAGTTGGTTTGTTCTCTCCCACAGAAGGCTATTGCTGATGGTATCCGGCCAATGGATGTTGAGTATCTTGCGTAGACAGCTATTTATAAATACTTGTACTTTCTTGATTGTGGTTGTTGTAGTTCTCCAAGTTTCAGCTCCATACAGTAGAACTGCCTTGACGTTCGTATTGAAGATTCTCACTTTGATATTGATTGAAAGTTGTTTTGAGTTCCATATGTTCTTCAATTGTAGGAATGCGGCCCTTGCTTTGCCAATCCTCGCCTTTAAGTCTGCATCTGAACCTCCATGTCTATCGACGATGCTTCCCAGATATGTGAAGGATTCTACATCTTCCAGAGTTTCGCCATCAAGAGTGATTGGATTGCTGTTCTCCGCTTTGAATTTGAGGACCTTAGTTTTCCCTTTGTGTATGCTGAGGCCTACTGATGCAGAGACTGCTGCTACACTGGCTGTCTTCATCTGCATCTGTTCGTGTGTACGTGATAGGAGGGCTAGGTCATCTGCGAAGTCCAGATCGTCTAATTGGTTCTGAGCTGTCCATTGTATTCCGTGTTTTCCTTCAGATGTCGAGGTCTTCATAATCCAGTCGACCACCAGAAGAAAGAGGAAGGGAGAGAGTAAACAGCCTTGTCTGACTCCGGTCCTTACTTGGAATGCATCTGTCAGCTGTCCTCCATGCACTACTTTGCACTGTAGTCCGTCGTATGAGTTCCGGATAATATTGACAATCTTCTCAGGAACTCCGTAATGTCGAAGAAGTTTCCATAATGTCCTCCTATCTACACTGTCGAATGCCTTTTCATAATCAATGAAGTTGATGTATAGTGATGAGTTCCACTCAACTGATTGTTCGACGATGATCCGTAGTGTTGCAATTTGGTCTGTGCACGACCGATCCTTTCGGAATCCAGCTTGTTGATCTCGAAGTTGGGCGTCTACTGCATCCTTTATCCGGTTCAGCAACACTCTGTTGAAGACTTTCCCTGGTATTGACAGTAGTGTGATGCCTCTGTAGTTTTCACATTTGCTCAGATCTCCTTTCTTTGGAATCTTGACGAGGTGTCCTTCTTTCCAGTCCATTGGCACTTGTTCCTCCTCCCAAATCTTTTTGAATAGAGGGTAAAGCATGCTTGTGGTTACTTCGACGTCTGATTTCAGTGCTTCAGCTGGTATGTTGTCGGGTCCTGCTGCTTTCCCGTTCTTGATTTGTCTGACGGCCATTCTAATTTCTTCCGTCGTTGGTGGGTTGACATCTATAGGAAGATCTGTGTGTGCTGCTTCGATGTTCGGTGGATTCATTGGAGCCGGCCTATTCAGGAGTTCCTCGAAGTATTCTACCCATCTGTTTCGCTGTTGTTGAATTTCAGTGATTGGCTTGCCTTCTTTGTCTTTGACCGGCCTCTCTGGTTTACTGTATTTCCCTGATAGTTTCTTCGTTGTATAGTAAAGCTGTTTCATATTTCCTTCTCTAGCAGCTTTTTCTGCCGTCGTTGCTAATTCTTCCACGTATTTCTTCCTGTCGGCTCTAATGCTCCTCTTCACTTGCTTGTTTGCTTCTATGTATTCAGCTTGTGCTTGGACTTTCTCTGCTCGTGTTCGGCTGTTGTTAATTGCTGTCTTCTTGTTCTTCCTTTCTTTGATCTTGTCCAGTGTTTCTATAGAGATCCATTCCTTATGATGGTGTTTCTTTAGGCCCAGAACCTCTTGACACGTTGAAGTCAATGTTTCTTTGATGCCTTTCCAGTTGTCCTCCATGGTAGTTTCTTCTTCCTTCAGTAGATCTTGAAAGGCTTGGAACCTGTTGTTGAGAGCTATCTTGAATTCATTGAGTTTGTCAGTATCTCGAAGGAAGGCTGTATTGAACCTTTGTAGTGCTGTTTGTCCACTTGTCCAGTTCTTTTTTAGCTTCAGTTTTAAATTGGCTACAACTAGGTAGTGATCTGAAGCTACGTCAGCTCCTCTCCTGGTTCTCACATCTTCCATTGTCCTTCGGAATTTTTTGTTGATGCAAATATGGTCTATCTGGTTCTCTGTAGTGTGGTCCGGTGAGATCCATGTAGCCTTGTGTATACGTTTGTGTGGAAATATTGTGCCTCCTATGACTAATTTGTTGAATGCACACAAATTTGCAAATCTTTCTCCATTTTCGTTCCTCTCTCCCAGTCCATGTCGTCCCATAATATCTTCATATCCAGTGTTGTCTGTTCCGACCTTGGCATTTAGATCTCCCATCAGAATGGTGAGG